GTCCCCCTGCTCTAGAAAGCACATATACAGGGCCGCCTGAAGTTTACAAATGAACATCTGAATGATTCAGAGGAGAACTGGGTGAAAGTGTTGTGGTCAGATGAGACCAAAATCGAGCTCTTTGGCATCAACTCAACTCGCCGTGTTTGGATGAGGAGGAATGCTTCCTGTGACCCCAAGAACACCATCCCCACCGTCAAACATGGAGGTGGAAACATTATGCTTTGGGGGTGTTTTTCTGCTAAGTGGACAGGACAACTTCACCGCATCAAAAGGACGATGGACGGGGCCATGTACCGTCAAATCTTGGGTGAGAACCTCCTTCCCTCAGCCAGGGCATTGAAAATGGGTCGTGGATGGGTATTCCAGCATGACAATGACCCAAAACACACGGCGAAGGCAACAAAGGAGTGGCTCAAGAAGAAGCACATTAAGGTCCTGGAGTGGCCTAGCCAGTCTCCAGACCTTAATCCCATAGAAAATCTGTGGAGGGAGCTGAAGGTTCGAGTTGCCAAACGTCAGGCTCAAAACCTTAATGACTTGGAGAAGATCTGCAAAGAGGAGTGGGACAAAATCCCTCCTGAGATGTGTGCAAACCTGGTGGCCAACTACAAGAAACGTCTGCCCTCTGTGATTGCCAACAAGGGTTTTGCCACCAAGTACTAAGTCATGTTTTGCAGAGGGGTCAAATACATATTTCCCTCATTAAAACGAAAATCAATTTATAACATTTTTGACATGCGTTTTTCTGGATTTATTTGTTGATATTCTGTCTCTCACTGTTCAAATAAACCTACCATTAAAATTATAGACTGATCATGTCTTTGTCAGTGGGCAAACGTACAAAATCAGCAGGGGATCAAATACTTGTTTCCCCTCACTGTACATATACACATACATAAACATATATACAGTGGGGAGAACAAGTACACTGCCGATTTTGCAGGTTTTCCTACTTACAAAGCATATAGAGGTGACATAAGTATTTGATACATCAGAAAAGCAGAACTTAATATTTGGTACAGAAACCTTTGTTTGCAATTACAGAGATCATACATTTCCTGTAGGTCTTGACCAGGTTTGCACACACTGCAGCAGGGATTTTGGCCCACTCCTCCATACAGACCTTCTCCAGATCCTTCAGGTTTCGGGGCTGTCGCTGGGCAATACGGACTTTCAGCTCCCTCCAAAGATTTTCTATTGGGTTCAGGTCTGGAGACTGGCTAGGCCACTCCAGGACCTTGAGATGCTTCTTACGGAGCCACTCCTTAGTTGCCCTGGCTGTGTGTTTCGGGTCATTGTCATGCTGGAAGACCCAGCCACGACCCATCTTCAATGCTCTTACTGAGGGAAGATCTCGCGATACATGGCCCCATCCATCCTCCCCTCAATACGGTGCAGTCGTCCTGTCCCCTTTGCAGAAAAGCATCCCCAAAGAATGATGTTTCCACCTCCATGCTTCACGGTTGGGATGGTGTTCTTGGGGTTGTACTCATCCTTCTTCTTCCTCCAAACATGGCGAGTGGAGTTTAGACCAAAAAGCTATATTTTTGTCTCATCAGACCACATGACCTACTCCCATTCCTCCTCTGGATCATCCAGATGGTCATTGGCAAACTTCAGACGGGCCTGGACATGCGCTGGCTTGAGCAGGGGGACCTTGCGTGCGCTGCAGGATTTTAATCCATGACGGCGTAGTGTGTTACTAATGGTTTTCTTTGAGACTGTGGTCCCAGCTCTCTTCAGGTCATTGACCAGGTCCTGCCGTGTAGTTCTAGGCTGATCCCTCACCTTCCTCATGATCATTGATGCCCCACAAGGTGAGATCTTGCATGGAGCCCCAGACCGAGGGTGATTGACCGTCATCTTGAACTTCTTCCATTTTCTAATAATTGCGCCAACAGTTGTTGCCTTCTCACCAAGCTGCTTGCCTATTGTCCTGTAGCCCATCCCAGCCTTGTGCAGGTCTTATCCCTGATGTCCTTACACAGCTCTCTGGTCTTTGCCATTGTGGAGAGGTTGGCGTCTGTTTGATTGAGTGTGTGGACAGGTGTCTTTTATACAGGTAACGAGTTCAAACAGGTGCAGTTAATACAGGTAATGAGTGGAGAACAGGAGGCCTTCTTAAAGAAAAACTAACAGGTCTATGAGAGCCAGAATTCTTACTGGTTGGTAGGTGATCAAATACTTATGTCATGCAATAAAATGCAAATTAATTACTTAAAAATCATACAATGTGATTTTCTGGATTTTTGTTTTAGATTCCGTCTCTCACAGTTGAAGTGTACCTATGATAACAATTACAGACCTCTAAATGCTTTGTAAGTAGGAAAACCTGCAAAATCGGCAGTGTATCAAATACTTGTTCTCCCCCACTGTATATATACTGAGATCATGTGACAGATCATGTGACACTTAGATTGCACACAGGTGGACTTTATTTAACTAATTATGTGACGTCTGAAGGTAATTGGTTGCACCAGATCTTATTTAGGGGCTTCATAGCAAAGGGGGTGAATACATATGCACGCACCAATTTTCCGTTATTAATTTTTTAGAATTATTTGAAACAAGTAATTTTTTTCATTTCACTTCACTAATTTGGACTATTTTGTGTATGTCCATGACATGAAATCCAAATAAAAATCTATTTAAATTACAGGTTGTAATGCAAAAAAATTGGAAAAACGCCAAGGGGGATGAATACTTTTGCAAAGCACTGTACGTGCCTGTGTGTGTGTGTGTGTGTGTGTGTGTTGTATTCACCAACCACTCTCAGATATATTCTATCTACCTATTCATTTTACCCAGTTCAGTGTGTTTATTGAAAACCCATTCTCATTTGCAACAATAGCCTGGGAAGTGTTGCAGTGGTGCAAAATAATGATGAAGGTGGGAAGACCCTCCATTGCGCACTCATTCTCATTCTGACAAAATAGAAAAGAGTACACTCCCACAGGTACCAGCTGGAGATGTTGTTCATGTTCTAGCTGAGGCTATACTAACTCCAGTAAACCAGTGAAAATAGTCAAGCCACAGTAAGGAGAGTCTGGAAGCTAGGATAACTTCATTAGTACAATAGTTGTAGCCCTCAGTGGTTTTGAATGGGCATTCTTGCACTTATCAAGCATTTCACAATCAGACAATCTAATTATCCCCTCATATACAGTGCCTTCAGAAAGTATTCACACCGCTTGACTTTTCCCACATTTTGTTGTGTTACAAAGTGGGATTAAAATTGATTTTTTTTTGTCAATGATCTACACAAAATACTCTGTAATGTCAAAGTGGAAAAATTCTAACATTTGTAAAAAAAAAAAGAAGGAAAAAAAAGAAAAGTTATATTAATTAGATAAGTATTCAACCCCCTGAGTCAATATGTTAGAATTACCTTTCTGGGTAAATCTCTAAGAGTTTTGAACACTTGGATTATTCTTAAAAAATTTTTCAAGCACTGTCAAGTTGGTTGTTGATCATTGCTAGACAGCCATTTTCAAGTCTTGCCATAGATTTTCAAAATGATTTAAGTCAAAACTATAACTAGGCCACTCAGGAACATGCAATGTCGTCTTGGTAAGCAACTCCAGTGTATATTTGGCCTTGTGTTTTAGGTAATTGTCCTGCTGAATGATGAATTTGTCTCCCACTGTCTGTTGGAAAGCAGACTGAACCAGGTTTTCCTCTAGAATTTTATTCAATTTCTTTTTATCCTAAAAAAACTTTAGCAGTATGCTTAGGGTCATTGTCCTGCTGGAAGGTGAACCTCCGTCCCAGTCTCAAATGTCTGGAAGACTGAAACCGGTTTCCCTCAAGAATTTCCCTGTATTCAGCGCCATCCATCATTCCTTCAATTCTGATCAATTTCCCAGTCCCTGCTGATGAAAAACTCAGGGTGATGACTATTTTGTGTATGTCCATTACATGAAATCCAAATATAAATCCATTTAAATTACAGTTTGTAATGCAACAAAATTGGAAAAACACCAAGGGGGGTGAATACTTTTGCAAGGCACTGTACCAATAGGTGCCCTTCTTTGCAAGGCATTGGAAAACCTCTCTGGTCTTTGTGTTTGAATCTGTGTTTGAAATTCACTGCTCGACTGAGGGACCTTACAGATAATTGTATGTGTGGGGTACAGAGATGAGGTATTCATTCAAAAATCATGTTAAACACTGTTATTGCACACATAGTCCATGCAACTTATTATGTGATTTTTACTTATTATGCCATTATGCCATTGTGGAGAGGTTGGCGTCTGTTTGATTGAGTGTGTGGACAGGTGTCTTTTATACAGGTAACGAGTTCAAACAGGTGCAGTTAATACAGGTAATGAGTGGAGAACAGGAGGCCTTCTTAAAGAAAAACTAACAGGTCTATGAGAGCCAGAATTCTTACTGGTTGGTAGGTGATCAAATACTTATGTCATGCAATAAAATGCAAATTAATTACTTAAAAATCATACAATGTGATTTTCTGGATTTTTGTTTTAGATTCCGTCTCTCACAGTTGAAGTGTACCTATGATAAAAATTACAGACCTCTACATGCTTTGTAAGTAGGAAACCTGCAAAATCGGCAGTGTATCAAATACTTGTTCTCCCCACTGTAGCTGTGGAAAGCAACCAAGGAGAGCAAATATTGGAGATTTCAAATCTTAGAACAGAAGGGAAAGGCTTCCATTCTTACTGATAGATGACTTCAGAGCTGTTCAAGATGTACACAAATCTGCCATGTCAGTGTGTTTGAGGCCAACACATGCAGCCCACATATATTGCATTATTTTATTTTAGCTTGATTTTGGTTATTTTCACAACTTTAATTTTATTTATATCAAATTTGTTTTTGTTCCCCAGTATTATTGTTGTACAAAAGTGCCACGAAAGCTGGTCTCTGTGATTCTGACTGGCCTGAAACGCCCCCTCCTCCCTCCCACCATGACAAAACCCCTGATAAGATGGTGATCAATATTTGGAATGGGCGGCACCAAGGTGATGAAGACACAACTTTTGCTTCGAGGGATATCTATGAAACATAGTCAAAGGAGAGAAACGGAGCTAACACATCTGAATTCTATTGCACTAAAAGAGGTAAGCTGACACTTAAACTATCTGATGAATATATATTTCATTATGATGATAATGAGGTAAAGCGTAAAACACGTATGATATGACTAAAACTTGATACATAGTAATGAATGCATGCAATGCCATAAGAGTAAGGATAAGTCAAGTCTAACAATACCACACAATACAGTGGGGGAAAAAAGTATTTAGTCAGCCACCAATTGTGCAAGTTCTCCAACTTAAAAAGATGAGAGAGGCCTGTAATTTTCATCATAGGTACACGTCAACTATGCAGACAAATTGAGAGAGAAAAAATCCAGAAAATCACATTGTAGGATTTTTAATGAATTTATTTGCAAATTATGGTGGAAAATAAGTATTTGGTCACCTACAAACAAGCAAGATTTCTGGCTCTCACAGACCTGTAACTTCTTCTTTAAGAGGCTCCTCTGTCCTCCACTCATTACCTGTATTAATGGCACCTGTTTGAACTTGTTATCAGTACAAAAGACACCTGTCCACAACCTCAAACAGTCACACTCCAAACTCCACTATGGCCAAGACCAAAGAGCTGTCAAAGGACACCAGAAACAAAATTGTAGACCTGCACCAGGCTGGGAAGACTGAATCTGCTATAGGTAAGCAGCTTGGTTTGAAGAAATCAACTGTGGGAGCAATTATTAGGAAATGGAAGACATACAAGACTACTGATAATCTCCCTCGATCTGGGGCTCCACGCAAGATCTCACCTTGTGGGGTCAAAATGATCACAAGTCCTGCAGTGCAAGACGTGTCCCCCTGCTTAAGCTAGTACATGTCCAGGCCCGTCTGAAGTTTGGTAGAGTGCATTTGGATGATCCAGAAGAGGATTGGGAGAATGTCATATGAAACCAAAATAGAACTTTTTGGTAAAAACTCAACTCGTCGTGTTTGGAGGACAAAGAATGCTGAGTTGCATCCAAAGAACACCATACCTACTGTGAAGCATGGGGATGGAAACATCATGCTTTGGGGCTGTTTTTCTGCAAAGGGACGAGGACGACTGATCCGTGTAAAGGAAAGAATGAATGGGGCCATGTATCGTGAGATTTTGAGTGAAAACCTCCTTCCATCAGCAAGGGCATTGAAGATGAAACGTGGCTGGGTCTTTCAGCATGACAATGATCCCAAACACACCGCCCGGGCAACGAAGGAGTGGCTTCGTAAGAAGCATTTCAAGGTCCTGGAGTGGCCTAGCCAGTCTCCAGATCTCAACCCCATAGAAAATCTTTGGAGGGAGTTGAAAGTCCGTGTTGCCCAGCGACAGCCCCAAAACATCACTGCTCTAGAGGAGATCTGCATGGAGGAATGGGCCAAAATACCAGCAACAGTGTGTGAAAACCTTGTGAAGACTTACAGAAAACGTTTGACCTGTGTCATTGCCAACAAAGGGTATATAACAAAGTATTGAGAAACTTTTGTTATTGACCAAATACTTATTTTCCACCATAATTTGCAAATAAATTCATTAAAAATCCTACAATGTGATTTTTCTAATTTTGTCTGTCATAGTTCACGTGTACCTATGATGAAAGTTACAGGCCTCTCTCATCTTTTTAAGTGGGAGAACTTGCACAATTGGTGGCTGACTAAATACTTTTTTCCCCCACTGTACATGTAATGACAGGAGGTAGGAAGGACTGTACATTTTCTCTGCTTATGTTGAATGTTAAAATCACTGTGACAGTGATCTATTATTCAGTTAACTTCTTTTGAACCAAGTTGCAACTGGTTATTTTAGACAAAGATATCCTGTTTTTGTACAGCCCAGCCACTAACTCACCATGCCCCCTGCGGCCAGCACTAACCTGGGGTACACCCCACCAGATGGAGGCTGGGGCTGGGCTGTGGTCTTTGGTGCCTTCATTTCCATCGGGTTTTCCTATGCCTTCCCCAAATCTCTCACCATCTACTTCAAGGAGATTCAGAAGTACTTCAGTGTCTCCTACAGTGAGATTGCATGGGTGTCCTCAATCATGCTGGCTGCCATGTACGCAGGAGGTAAGTGTATACTGTGTGTGTATGTCATGGCTTATGGGGTATCACGATATGCCAATAGGAATGTTATTTGTCCAACACACACTTTGGGCTAATTTCCCAGAGATACTCCATTTAGCATTCTTTTTAGTCCAAGGCTAGGTTCTATGTCTGTTAAACTGTCCCGTTGTGTAAATAAAGGCAACAGCCACTGAAAGGTAATGATATGTGAATATAGTACTTTTCCTCTCGTTATCTTTGCAGGTCCAGTGAGCAGTATACTGGTCAACCGCTATGGTAGCCGACCTGTGGTTATCCTTGGTGGGCTCATGGTTGGGGCATCTATGGTTGCTGCTTCCTTTGGCACTACGATTATACATCTGTATTTATTAGTTGGAGTCATTGGAGGTATTTATTTTAATGTTCTCTTATAATTTTGTCATTATTATGAAAATGTATAAAAGGTATTCATAATCACCAGGTTTCTTTGTTATGGGCGTATAGCCACGAAATCTCAATCAATGTCAGGCATGTGTAGTGTTTGTATAAAAGTTTCTCTCTCTAGTTCTGACTGGGTAGGGAGGAAACTGAGTGGTTGGTTTCAGAGTAGATATGTTATGTACGTCAGAAGGCTGTGTCACTCATAGGGAGGAATAGTCTTTGATCACTCAGGGTCAATGCGCTAGGGAGCCTCTACACTCTCTCCCTCTTTCAGTGTGTGGTTAGAGGGGACAGTTCAAGGACAGACCTTCACTATGGGGGCCTACCTGTGTCTGTTAGACCATTATATCACAAAGGTTGCTTTGGGATATTCTTCCCCATCTCTGATGAGTCAATCATTTTACATGCACAGTATTTGGAAAACTATCAAACCAGCAAACAATGCTCATGCTTTAAGCATTCACCCCTAAAAATGAAGTATTCTCAGATAGGGTAAGGATTGTTGAAATGTCAATAAACTGCTATGCCGGACAAACTAAATGGAGAGGAAGAGAGCTCTAAAGGGAACACACAGCAAGTTGAATGTAAGCTCAGCTTCAGGACAATTTGTACTCGGTCTGACAGTTATAGTGACATTTGAGTGGCATGTTATCAGACAGATTGGCAGAAGATAGTTTTAATCTTCAAAAGGTTCAGGGTGACACCATCACTGTCATACAGCCAATGTGAATGGAATTCATTAATTCATAGATGATTGAGTGGTAAAGCAACCTTTCTTCTCTACAGGTTTTGGCCTCTCTTTCAACCTACAGCCTTCCCTTACAATCATAGGAAAGTACTTCCAGGTGAAAAGGCCAATGGCAAACGGCCTGGCCATGGCAGGAAGTCCAGTATTCCTCTCCACTCTGGCGCCACTCAATCAGTTCCTGTTTGATAACTTTGGATGGAGGGGAGCCTTTATGATCCTGGGAGCCATAGTGATGAACTGCTGCGTTGCTGGGGCCCTGATGAGACCCGTTAACATGAAAACAGTCCAAAAAGATCCTGTCACAGCCTCCAATGGAACAACCCCCGAGAAGGCTGGGTCCACTGAGGACAACGCTAACCCTGAGGCAGGAGGCCTTCTAACTGAAACAGAGCAGAATCAGAAGATGGGTGGCTGTGTAGACAAATGTATAGATCTCTCTCTCTTTAAAAACAGAGGCTTCATCATCTACCTCATAGGCAATGTGGTCATGTTTTTTGGCTTCTTTGCTCCAGTGGTCTTCCTCCCCTCATATGCCAAAGGTATTGGGATTGATAACTACCAGGCCGCCTTCCTTCTCTCCATCTTTGCCTTCGTGGACATGTTTGCCAGGCCAGGGACTGGCCTCATCGCCAACACCAAATGGATCAGGCCCAGGATCCAGTACTTCTTCAGTTTCTCTGTGGCATACAACGGTGTGTGTCACCTCCTCTGCCCGTTCCTTGCGGGATACCTGGGGTACGCAGGCCTGGTGGTTTATGCTGTATTCTTTGGTGTGGCGTTTGGCATGGTGTGTGCTCTGCTCTTTGAGGTCCTGATGGATCTGGTGGGAGCACAGCGGTTCTCAAGCGCAGTAGGACTGGTCACCATCATCGAGTGTGGCCCTGTGCTTCTGGGTCCCCCAATTTCAGGTGAGTGAAGGAAATGTATTCATACATTTTAAAGACCTCTGTGTCTATATTTTGTACCTGGTATACATTGTGTGTTGAAAACTCTAAGCATTGTAGTCCAATTGGTGTAAGGGGAATTGATAGCAAAGAGCTGGCCATGGAGGTCATTCAATAAGTGCCTGCTACTCTCTCTGCAGGGTTTTTGGTGGATGTCTTTGATGACTACAAATACATGTATTGGGCATGTGGTGTCATGATGCTGGCACCTGGCATCTTTCTCTTCATCATGAACTACTTCAATTACAAACTACTGGACCAAGAGGAGAGGAAGAGACAGAGTGGAGCCATTGGGATGCAGTCTGTTAAGCGGTCCGTAGCGGAGGAGCAAGGGAGAAGGAGATGAAAATGAGCAAGAATGAGGGGACAAGGGACTACACCTTTTAATGTTAGATATGGTTTATTAATGGGTTAATGTTGATGTGTATATTTCAGACCTGGGTTCAAATACTATTTCAAATATCTTTCACATACATTTCGAATTAAGTATTCAGATATTTTTTATTTGAAAAGATAAGTAGTTTAATATTGGAATGTATTTGGAAATACAATTGGAAAGTATTGGCATGTATTTGAAATCACTCAAATACACTGACTCAAATACACTCCCATACATTTAACCCAGGTTTTAAAAAAAATTATATTTGCAATAAGTTTTTTAAAATACTTTCAAATAATAGGCTATTTATAGGAAATTATTTGAAAATACTTTCAAATAATTCAAATAGAAGTAGTTGATTCGTATTTAAATAAAAAATGATCAAATACACATGTATTTGAACCCTGGTATATTTTGACATTTTGTATTTTTTGTCTGATATTTTTTTTTTATATGCTAGTGTTGTACTTGTTGAAATATTTGTCTCATACACTCTAGTTTGCCAAATAAGCAATCATGGCTTTACCCAAAGACAAAGCATTGTAAATACAATATGATTCTTGCAAATAAAAGTTTACCAGATGGCACAACTTCATCAGTACTATGAGGAGGGAGCCACAAGATGGCAATAAAGACCTCCAACAGCAAAAAAGGTTCTCAGAGCACACCAGGAGTTCACTACGCCTGTCCTCGAGGGTTGTAGTCCTGCTGGTTTTCAGATTTCCCTGGCACTTTATTGCCAAATGAATGGATATCACTGATTGGCAAGGGAATTGGTTTTATTTCTTGGAGGAATCTTATATTACTTTAAATTATGTTTTCATGACCTTGATGTGCAGAACATCCCTCAATATCCCCCTCAACTATGGTATTCAATGTAGGCGGGTGTTATTAGCCTACAGGCACCAGTTCAAATAACTGTTGCCGTGACAATGATCTGGTGGACAGCCTCATGGAACTGTGTTCAAAATACCTAATCAACATGGCTTTCTAGTGTGGTCATTATAAAAGATCAATGTTTATCAGTACATTCATTTTAAGGCAGAAATTACCTCTGTCTTAGATGGCAGGGAAACCGTTTATCAGAGAAAATCAATGGGTTCATAATAACGTGTGAAATCATAACCTGAAAATCTGATAGGAAACACATGTGACTGCCAGAGAAAGATCTAGGTACTTGGTCTTGTCTAAGACAATGTTGCAGGGTTCAGCTTGAGCTTCATTTTTTAAAAGATGCTGGAGGACACCATGCCACCATGCCTCAGTATGTTGGTATTAAGTATTACGTATGCAGAAAATAGGGTAGGTCATAGTTTACATAGGTAAATTATTGATTGACGTGCATACAGAGTTAACCACATCACCCTGAGGACACTGACAGACATCCACAGTTCAAGTCGTGGGCACAAACCGAGAAAGTGAAGGCCTCCAATTAGTAGCCGTTCCCATAAACCTCTGCATTTGTTATGTGGGCAGCTTGTCTCTCCCTTTTCTGTTTCCCTTCCTCCTTGTTTTGTCCCCTCTTTGTCTGTTGTATCTGTATGTGTGTTTGTCCCCATTATGTTGGTGCGTCTGCCGGTGTGTGTCTGGAGTGGATCGGGGGGCTTGCTCAGGATCTGCCTCTCCTGTGCAGCTGCGGGTTGTTTCCAGTGATTCCTGCCTACGCAGCTGCATCCTATTCTCTCATCAACCTGCACTACTAATTCCTGGGCATGGCTCTCCACCGGCGCCAGATCGTTGTTCTTACTAGAGCGTTCAGACATACCTCCCAACCTGCCTGCCTGCCTGCCTGCCTGCCTGCCTGCCTGCCTGCCTCAGCCTCTCCTTCCTCCGGAGCCGACTAGCCCACTCTGTTCCTTTTCTTCAGTTGTTTTTGGACTAAGACAAATTGAACTTTTATTAAAATAATTTTTGTTTCTTCCACTCCCTTAGTCGTGTTTTGTTTCTCTGAGTGCTGGGTTTAACCATAGCGTAACAGCATTATCTCCTTACTGAACAGCTTGTACGTAATTACACACACTGAACTTTAATTGAGACCCAGAAGATTGAATCAAGGCAGCTTCTCAGGATGGGTCAATCCTTCTTTCCTTGTGATGGCTGTTGGAGACTGGGGAGCCCAGTTACGGCTTATATTAACCTTGGGTGATGGACATAGATGGAGAGGAGATTTGAAGAAATGTAGACGCAAAACATAATTGTTATAATTTGAATAGACTTTGTAACAGTTCTTAATATATCAAAAGACTACATTATGAGTCATTCCATGAGGACTTCATTATCAGATGGTGGTAGAAAAGAATGAGATACAAAATATGCACCAGCAAGACACACCAAAGCCATACTCAACGAATATGATTCTTAAAAGTAACAGCAGTCATAAAAAAGCAACGGCCAACTGGTAGTTAGTTACTCTAATGATAGACAAAGGTTGGGACTTACTGTGGTTCCATGCTTCAGTACATCTGGAGGTTGAATCTGGAGAAATTTACATATCTAGGTTACGCCAGCACTGTACCCCAACCACTGCTTTAATTGCTTGAGCTGGATATGTGAAAATAAGGAAATGATGCTATCTGCCTAATCCAACATGTTTGTTAAGAATCTCTGCTAATCTGCTTTAACTGTTGCAGTAGAACTAATCTGTCTTCAGTGTTTACACCCCGAGAGGATAGAGCGGGCTGGGGACGTCATGGGAATGCCACCCTGAGGGTTTATATACTTAGCTCTAGACCATGTACTAATACAACTGTGCCAGCACACAGAGAAGCAGTGGTCACTGGCATGTCTCGGTCTGTCTATCCAAGCTGCTTTCAAGGATTAACCCACCACACCATCTACGACAGCATTTTATTGCCTGTAGTTTGATTGATCACAGTCTGTGAATTTACTGGAGCATTGTCTGATACGTAGAACTGCTGAATTTCATACAAATGAAATACATACATATCAGACATGCATACATATCAAAATACTTGTTCTATGGATTCTAATAATTTCCTATGTTCAGCGTGAACTGGTGAAGCGTAGATTATGTGTTACCCAAGGCAATCCCTAGAGGGCAGACTAAATCAATGAACTAGTAAACCACATAACTCAATACAGATTTTTCTGTCAACAGATTCTCTGCCATTTGCTCTCCATCTGGGGGGAGAGTTTTCCCAAAATAATATAATACCCATCTGCATGTCCAGATGGAAATAGTTTAATGAAGTAAAATTGGATCTTTGTGGAAGTGTTACATGTTTGAACCCAGCATTTGGCAAGATGCTACGTAGTAGTGTTTGAGTGTCTCTTCTCTCCTGAAAGGACAATCCCTGTTTCCTGCATCAGTATCCTAGGTGTGGTATTGTAGAGTATCGGGGTGAATTTTCATGCAGAAGCTGGTGTATCCTGCTATCAGAGGGAATACAAATTAAACCCTGCGCACGACCATGTGGAGAGCAAGGTCTTTTGTTTGAACCCAGACAAAAGAGGGACTAGAAACACCAAACATTCATACTCTACACTACTCAATTATGAAAGAAATTGAGAGGCCATGCAAAAGAAGACAAAATGAGATTACGATGTTTCCTATAATCAACAAACTGTGAAACACAAATCTCCAAACTAAGCCCATGCAACGTGGCTTGTTTTATGCTTTTGTCAGCAATTTAGTCTGAGACAGTGTATATTATCATCCAAACCCAAATTTACCATGCCTTTCATGGCTCACATTGCTGGGTCCCTGACTAACATCGCTAATCTGCCACTCAAAATATACTGAACAAAAATATAAACGCAACATGCAACAATTTCAAAGATTTTATTGAGTTACAGTTCATATGAGGAAATCAGTCAATTTAAATAATTCATTAGGCCCTAATCTATGGATTTCACGACTGGGAATACAGATATGCATCTGTTGGTCACAGATCACGGTATTTCTGTGTATTCAAATTGCCATCGATAAAATACAATTGTGTCCGTTGTCCGCAGCTTATGCCTGCCCATACCATAACCCAACCGCCACCATGGGGCACTCTGATCACAATGCACAATGTTGACATCAGCAAACCGCATGTGCACTCGATGCCATACACGTGGTCTGCAGTTGTGAGGACGGTTGGATGTACTGCCAAATTCTCTAAGGCGGCTTATGGTAGAGAAGTAATGACAAACCCCATAATGACAAAGCAAAAACAGTTTTTTAGAAATGTTTCCAAATGTATTAAAAATAAAAAACGGAAATGTTACATTTACATAAGTATTCAGACCCTTTACTCAGTACTTTGTTGAAGCACCTTTGGCAGCGATTACAGCCTTGAGTGTTCTTGGGTATGACGCTACAAGCTTGGCACACCTATATTTGGGGAGTTTCTCCCATTCTTCTCTGCAGATCCTCTCAAGTTCTGTCAGGTTGGATGTGGAGTGTTGCTGCACAGCTATTTTCAGCTCTCTCCAGAGATGTTCGATCGGTGTTCAAGTCCAAGCTCTGGCTGGGCCACTCAAGGGCATTCAGAGACTTGTCCCGAAGCCACTCCTGCGTTGTCTTGGCTGTGTGCTTAGGGTCATTGTCCTGTTGGAAGGTGAACCTTCGCTCCAGTCTGAAGTCCTGAGCGCTCTGGAGCAGGTTTTCATCAAGAATCTCTCTGTACTTTTCTCCATTAATCTTTCCCTCTATCCTGACTAGTCTCCCAGTCCCTGCCGCTGAAGAACATCCCCACAGCACGATGCTGCCACCACAATGCTTCACTGTAGGGATGGTGCCAGGTTTCCTCCAGACGTGAAGCTTGGAATTCAGGCCAAAGAGTTCAATCTTGGTTTCATCAGACCAGAGAATATTGTTTCTCATGGTCTGAGAGTCCTTTAGGTGCCTTTTGGCAAACTCCAAGCGGGCTGTCATGTGCCTTTTACTGAGGAATGTCTTCCGTCTGGCCACTCTACCATAAAGACCTGATTGGTGGAGTGCTGCAGAGATGGTTGTCCTTCTGGAAGGTTCTCCCATCTCCACAGAGGAACTCTGGAGCTCTGTCAGAGTTACCATCGGGTTCTTGGTCAGCTCCCTGACCAAGGCCCTTCTCCGCCGATTGCTCAGTT